TCAGGCTGGCACATGGTATAGTTATTTGTGCTTAAGAACCAAGGAAGTGTGGTTCATTGAGTGACAATGTCTATGACTCTGGAGCCCTTCTGAGGTAAACATACATTTGCAGCTAAATCTCCTACTTATTACTTATTAGTGTCTTATGTACAAAAGAGAAGGGCCAGCATCTCCCTTGGGTCACGTTATTCCTTTGCAGACACAGAGGCCAATTCATTTGAAGCTAAAGAAATGGCCAGCTTTAATTGTTTTCTACCGATATCCTGGGGAGGATCCTAGCAATGTATTTATATGGCCAAACATATTGAAAACATACAAGTTTTTTTGTTTTCTGTTTCTCAAAAAGTTTCCATAAAACTTAGAATCACCCATGGATATTACCCAAGGTTATGATGTGGTACAGTTTAGTTTTGGGGGTCCTCTGCCTCTGTCAACCCTTTCCCTGGCCTGTGTTTCTTCTTCCCTCCATCAAGGCCTACTTTTGGGAGAGGACTTTCTGTTGGATGCCAATTCCTTACCGTGAATTTGCCTCTCACAGTGTAGTTTGCCTCTTCCCAAGTTATTTGTATTTTGCATCTTCTTCCCAATGTGGCAATTTTTTTTTTTTTTTTTAGCAAAGTATCTGGCAATCACAAACAAATGTCATTTTGTCTTCACCTCTAAACACTACTGAGATGGCATCGCCTCTGGTGCCGATACCCAGACACAGCCTGGGTCCTGTGCCACATTCTGTTCAGAGACTGTGGCAGACGAGGTTCTTCTCCTCGAGAGCGGCAGAGACAGCAGGTCCACGCCATGGGAAGGACCATGCCTTTTCCACTTCCTCACTCTCTTATCTACTCATTCACTTTCCCCTCCCCGCCTGTCTCCTTCCTTCTGTTTTCTTTTTTGATTTAATTAATTAATTTCAAAGAATGAAACATCCATCTGCCTTACCTATTTCCATGGCCCTAAAACTAAAATATTTTAGAAGGGATATCATGTCACCTCATGTCGTGAGACCTCAAGAGAGGGACTCGCTTAAACAGCACTAGCAATTCTATGCAACGATGATATTAACAAAAGAATGGTCATGGCCATATCATGAGCCACATAAACTCTTCCCTTAACCTTACGTATCTACCACCATAGGACCCTATGTATCTGCCACCAGTAGTCCTGTGACAACACTATAGAAACTGTGTGAATCAGAAGGTATTCGCCTGAAGGTCACTTCTTCTAGGTGAGAACCTCTTCCTCTACATACTAAGGCATTCTTCTCATTACTGGCTCCCATATACCTGATGTGCCCCCTATCGCGGGAATTACAGCACCTCATTATAATTGCTTGCTTTGCTAACTGTTTTCCCAGTAAGCCATAAGATCTAGGAGGATAATCACCACATCAGTTTTGCTTGCCATTTAATGCCCAAGGATCTGGAAAACCCTAAGAGCATTATAAATAGTTAATAAATGAAGGAAGGAAGGGAAGAAAAGAGGAAGGAAGGAAGGAAGGAAGGAAGGAAGCCTACGCATGTCAGGGCAGCCAACTGTTCAGTGTGCTTAGTATTCAAAATGCAGCCATACGGACGGAGCTTTTGGAAATAGCTCTCTATGGCTGGGATTTTACCAACCCCTTCCTGTACTTATTGAATTGCTGAACATAATATAAAAAAAGTGTTATTTCCTCCTCTGATTCCTCTAGGAGATGAAGATGCAAATCATAGAGTCCAAGTGACTTAAGCCAAAGTGGTTCTTCTTGGTCCTTAGTCATAGTTCTGGAGTCAGCCCAGCTCTCCACACTCTACCATCTGCACTGCATCCTCAACATCTCTCACTTTCCCATCTGACTCCTTCCTGCACTGTGAGATTCTCAACTCTTTCTTTTGACTCATCTCCCAGAATACAGATGATTATCCTCATTTTAATGGAAAGGAGAGAATGTGTGGATCATCTAAAGAAGGGGGCTGTCCAAACATTGTCCTTTTTTGGCTTTCAAACACTTCACATAGATTTTCATACAACCAGAATTTGCCCACTGCTCAGAAAACTGAGACTTCTTCCATAAGTGGCAGTCCAAATTTGGAAACCACAGCTGTTTTCAGCAATTGAGTCACTGGTTTTCAGGTGCCAAAAATATCACCTAGCATAGTCTCCAGGGGTCAAAGAAAGAGGAAAGAGGAAAAAAGTTAAAGAAAAAGTTGAGTAAAAGGTAACATGAAGCTTCTTCAGTCACATAAATTATATAAAAAATAACTATAATAACTTAAACATAGGTAATAATAGCAGTTAAGAACTAGCACTCACTAGCAATCTCTCTGAGAGGAAAAGAGGATAGTATTTTTAGTGCCTTCATTTTATAAACAAAGAAACAAAATCAGAGAAATGAAGTCAACAGCCCAAGGTCACACAACTGAAAATGATTCAACCCAAGTCATCACTCTTCAAAGCCTGTGTCTTACTTCGTATTCCAACAGTCTCACCACAGATATATCTAACCTCTCCCATCCCAAACCATTTTTGTGGGAAATCTGTCCTTTCCCCAACACTATGGGTCTAAGGAGGATCCATAGAATCCAGTAGGATTTCTCTAAAGTTGCAAAAATAGAGGAGAAACAGATTCCACTTCCAGAATTTACATGAGAGATCATGATATTTATATTACAATTTTGCAAGAAAGAAGTCTGGACCCTCTACCCTGATTTGTACCTTGGACTCTACCTCCTTCCCAATGACAAGTGACTAGAAATAGCCAAGGCAAAGTACAGAGCCTTGCAAAGCTAGGTGTCCCTTCTTTGGTCTCCCTCTTCCCACCTCCTCAGGTCAAGCTAGTACCTACCACTCCTTCATCCTGGAGGCTGATGGAGAGTCTAGCCATGAGTCAAATTGTTACAGAGAATGATCTCCATAAAAAAGGGGGAGGATTCACATTCCCTACTTCGCCTAATGAAGGGTGGAGCTGAGCCATGAGAAGCTGAAGACAGAGAGCACTTGCGAAGCCTCGTGGAGCAGCGAGACATGTGAAGTCCCACTTTCTTCTCGTCCTTGGACTTTCACCAGGAACTCAGGGGACATGGAAGGAGACACATGCATATGTTGAGACATTTGGAAGAGGCATGGGTGAGAGACCCGTGGGGAAGCTGACAGTGGCAGCCTTTCCCCTGATTTGTACTCTGATTTTGCTCTGTTGTCCCAGACTGGCCTGGCCCCTTCTGCCCCTTTCATATAATTTCCCATCAGAAGGTCCCTTGGATGTGTGGCCAGCTTTTGGGCCTCAAGAGCCCTGCTTTGGGCTAACCTTTGTGGCTGGACATTTACCCACAAGATGATGGGTAACTGTGGGTGTTTTACTGGGAAACTCTTACTCTTCTCCCTCTCTGCACACTAATTCTATTCAAGTTCTTTCATACAAAGAGTGTGCTTTGTCTTTATGTGGTGGATGACAGACTGCCTCTCAGTCTGTCCACTAACAAAATCTCGGAGCATATGTGATCCAGCAACATCTCCAAGAGATCCTACTGAAGGCAGTATTTGCTAAGAGCTTTGTAAGAGTAGTAGAGAGTGCAGAGGGTATGGACAAAGCGCCTAATCCCCAGGGTGTCTGGGCTCAGGCACAAAGTCTGGAACCACCTTGAAAATACTTTGAGAACAACGGGATTCGAGAGGCTGTTTGTGGCCCTCCCTGGTGGCGCAGTGGGTTAAAGCACAGCACTAAGAAGCTAAAGCCACTTCAGCATGAGTTGGATCCCCACCCGGGGGTGATCCACTTGGCGCCCCCGTCAGACCTCTCCTGACCTCTGCTGCTCCCCTCAGCTGTGTGCTTCATCAGTTGGCCTGTTCTGCTCCCCACTCTGTCTCTGGTGAATCCTCTCACTGCCCCTGCACCTCTGGCCTGTACCCCAGGTCTGCATGCATAAATAAATAAATCTTAAAAAAAAAAAAGAGAGGCTGTAGCATAGGTATCACATTGCTATGAGTTCAAAAAAGGTTAGTCTTCTATTTTAGTGATCAAAGGCATTTTCTATGATTTATACAAATAGGATTTTCTTTCACAGCTTATTTTATGAGCCCTTATTTTATGAGTCACTTGTTCACTTGTCCATTGGTCCATTCATACTTCCCATATCAAAGAGTGCCTACTATTGTATTTTTTGTTTGTTTTATCTGCTCATGAGGTTGAACAGTGTTGAATGTTCCCTGGAAAGGACCCGACAAGGCAAACAAAAGATGTGATATCACCATTTTTGAGCCTCATGAAAACTGTAGGCATAAGACCCTTAACAGAATTTATTCAGCATATCTCAAAATGTCGCATGACTTGGGTAGAATCACTTGACAGATGACAATTAAAAATAGAAATATCTGGAATCCACTCCAGACATGATAAACGAGAACATCTAGAGTAAGACTGGAAATATTATAAATCACTTCTGGTGAGTCTGAGTATGCTCAAGTTTGAGAACTGTTGATCAAAGGTCTTGCTAACAGAACCTACATGTTAATACATAATAGTAGCATTATATATTATGTAATATATATTGATAAATTTCCCTTATATACCTTCAAAGGCAAGGTGTTATTATATATGTAGATGCTTTTAAGCCACCTAGGAATAGCCTAACTATGGCCCAGAATTGCCATTGCTCCAGATCAGAATTTCTAAATGAATATAATCATTCTATCCCTAAACTAACTCCAAATAAACTCTAGCAAAGAAAAAAACAACAAAGTCAATATATACTTCCCCTAAGAAACTCACATTTTAGAAACAAACTGTTAACAAAATATTTGTTATTAAACTAGCAAAGCTTTGAAACCTTGACATGGCATAGTCAAGCCCTTCTTAAGCTGAAAACAACCAACAATAAACACCGCTTATGAGGGAAGCTCTCAACCACATGCATCTGGACAGCTCTGTCCCCTGGCTCCATGGTGCCAAGGCCAGCTGGGACTCTGTGACCTTCCCCTGGTCTTACCCCAACCTCACACACTCCTCTTCTTTCCAGCTGACTTTTACTCACTTTCTGAATTTTCCTAATCTGGTCAGAGAGCGTGTCTAACAGTCGAGTTTTCAGGAAGTCCATCACCTTGACCACTCGGCCATCAATGTAGCAACTGAAATAAAAATAAAATAAGAATCAGATAAGATTTCAGGCAGGAAACTGCAAATACAGTTTTCTAGTCAGAAGTCTCTGTTGCCTGAGGAAATAGCCCAGGTTTCATATTCTAAAATATTATGACTCCAGGTACTTATTTCAAACAAACTATATGTTTGTTATCTTCATCTCCATCTCTATTTGAACTTTCTCCCCAGTCTCTGTTATGTGAAACTGCTTTGCTTGCTTTATAAGAATTGACAGGGACCCATAAGCAAACTGGATAATTGGGAAAAGCTCACTCTATTCCTCTCCTCGCCCTGCCCCCCAAAGACAGTAATATAATGCCCATCCCACACCATCCAGACCTTAAAGTAATGGAAGGTCTGTGAGAAGTTTGAAAGAATAGGCAAACATTTTGAAGGTTTCCACGATAAGCCTTAAGTGTTTGGGACACAGTAGGTCATCAATGACTCTCAGTTCATTCTAATTTCTCTAGTTTCAGCTCACAAAGATGGGGTCATACACAAGAGGGGAATGATTAAATAAGACACGAGAACAGAATCCTGAAAGTGGAATTACTGTGTCAAAGGGCACCAGTGCTGGTTGAATTATGGGGACACTTCTACTAGGCATAAAATAGCAACAATGAGATGACATTTCACCTCTTTCTTCCCTGGCACAGAGGATTGACTCAGATCCAATAAATATATAACATGTACAAACAACTCTAAGTCGTTTGGGACTATCCAAGTCCATTACCTCATCTCTTCCGGTTACTACTTGAAATTAACACCTCTGATTTTATTTAAAGGTAATATTAGATGGAGTATTACTTGAAAGCTTGCCTGGCATGTTAAAACAGAGTAGCATTAAATTAAAAATGCTTTATGTGGGCCCTCCCTGGTGGCGCAGCGGGTTAAAGCACGGCACTGAGAAGCTAAAGCCACTTCCGCATGAGTTTGATTCCCGCCTGCCCCGCAGGTGACCACATGGCGCGGCAGACCTCTCCTGACCCGCCCGCTGCTCCCCTCAGCAGTGTATTTCGTCGATCTGCCTGTTCTGCTCCCCGCTGTCTCTGGTGAAGCATCTCACTGCCCCTGAGCCTCTGGCCTGTACCCTAGCTCTGTATGCACAAATAAATAAATCTTTAAAAAAAATGCTTTATGTGATAAGGTAACACATTAAGGCTATGAGCACTTGTTACTGTAGTTACCACACGATGGCTACACATAGGCTGAGAAAGCACTGCAGAAGGTATTTTTTTATGCTTCTACCAAGTCTTAGTTTCCTATTTTCTCTTTTTCAGCTCCTGTTAACTACCTTAAACACCAGCGTTCATGATTTTTGCTGACAACAGTCTACTTTCGCGCATATTGAGATTAAGGTCAGATGTAACTTTTCAATATGCAGGAGTCCCGTCTACACGGACCGTATTCCACACAATCCAGGGCCCAAGGGTCAGGCCCCCTTTATTTTTCCCTTTTCATTCTGTCCCCCCCCCCTTTTTTTTTTTCAAATATGCAGAACTCAGAGTTAGAAATCTTGGTTCAATCCCAGATTTACAACGAGACAGGGTTTCTACTTTAAAATGGATTAAAAACAACAACAACAACACAAAACCTATGGCATTTTCACAGGGTTATTGTCTATAAATCAAAAAAGAAAAAATCTAGGAACAAAAGCTGGGACATAAAGGGTTTCCACAACCTCATCTGCCTTCTGGGTCCCTTAAGTGCCCAACGTAGCAGTAACTTGGACTGCAAAGCCTTGGGTTGGGGTGAGCAGGGGAGCACTTGTCTGGAGAAGGAGAGCACGTTTATCATCCACGAGGGAGGAGGACTGGCAAGAACAGACTCTGGGATTCCCAGCAGGTAGAATACAGAAGGAATGGAGCAGGCATTGGAGTTTTAAAGCACCTCACTGGTCAAGAGGTCTGAAGCATGGACCTCTTCCTTGCTACCCCCTCTCTGGGATCCCCAAGGGAACCCACCCTCACACCCTACTAGTGCTATCCCACCGTGCTCCAACTCTTCTGACCTGGATCTGAAATTACTGTCCATTCAGTGGCAGTTTTCTTGGTTAGGAAATAATATGATTCCTCCTTTGTGTACTCTGTTGAAGAAAAATTCCAACAAAAACATTGGCTTCAACATGTTAGAGCCTATTCTTGGCCGCACCTGTACCCTAACAATCTGGCTCAGTCGCCCTCGGTTGGTTGGTCTCAGGCTGTCCCCGTGGGCTGTGTGTTCGGCTGGAGCAGCATGGCAAGGCCACCCTGCATCTGCACTGCACACAGGCAGGGGCGAGGGAAGCGCTCATGAAAGGTAGCAAAAGAGAGAGGCTATGAAGAAAGCACTAGCAAGCCTTTCATGGAATGTGAGGGAGAGGAAGGGAGTCAGTGATGAGCCCCAGCTTGGAAGAAAGGATGTCCTCTAGAACACTTCAGGAGGGCAGTGCCCAAGGCAGAGGGCAGGCCAGCTGGGGCCTGGGCCACGGGGAAGATGGTCAATCTTCTGAATTCGCCAGTGGTGTGAAGATTACCGAAGCTCTACCATGGGTACTGGAGATGGGGAAAGAAGGTGAAACAGAAAATGCTGACCTGGCTCTCTCCTTCAGCTTACATGTAAAGGAAGAAGCCATGGTGTGGATGAACTCTCGAAGAGAACACGGTAAGTTAACAGAGCTGTCAGCAGTTCAAAGGGGATGGCCTCTGTCTTTGGTCCAGCCAAGAGTCCCTTCCTCCTTCCTTCCCCAGTTAACCATCGCAGCCACTTTTTTTTTTTTAAAGATTTACTTGTTATTTACTTGTTTATGCATATAAGAACTGGGGTACAAGCCAGAGATGTGGGGAGACAGGGACAGGGTAGGGAGCAGAACAGGCTGACTAACGAAGTACACTGCTGAGGGGAGCAGCAGGTGGGTCAGGAGAGTCTGCCATGCCATGTGGGTCACCTCCGGGCTGGGGATCGAACTCATACTGCAGTGGCTGCGGACAGCTTCATAGTGCTGTGCTTTAATCTGCTGTGCCTCCAGGAAGGACCCTGCAGTCAGTTTTTGATAATCTCGATCTGGTCAAATTCACATTTGGATATCAAAGCACCCCCCCTAAGACACTGAGAAGTTTCAGCAATGTACACAATCTTAATTAGCTGCATTTATATTGTACTATGAGAATATCAACTTTGGTCTTCCAGAATTTAGTGTTACTTTTAAGAGAGGAAACAATTTAATCCTAGGTGTGAGTCTGATGACTCTTTTCATTCGGTAGTGCTGGGGAACACGCTTGCTGCACGCTTTCTAATTGGGGGGCTTCTAAGGAACAATCTCGATTGGAAATCACCATCTTCACCATATTCAGCAATTTACTCTCTCCAAATGATTGCCATGCCTACTCCACCTCCTTCATTTCCCAATCTAAATATACAGGGTCCCTCATCAGAGGCAGTGAGTATCTGAGAACCTCCACAATCTGTACCTACTTGAAAATGTCCTGCCTGTTACAAAGCTTGGTTCTCTGAGAACCTCCACAATCTGTACCTACTTGAAAATGTCCTGCCTGTTACAAAGCTTGGTTCTCAGATACTCACTGCCTCTGATGAGGGACCCTGTATATTTAGATTGGGAAATGAAGGAGGTGGAGTAGGCATGGCAATCATTTGGAGAGAGTAAATTGCTGAATATGGTGAAGATGGTGATTTCCAATCGAGACTGGGTAAAAGGAGGTAGGACTGGATTTTAACTGACTCTGCAGTGGCCAGCTTTTTCTCTACATTCTCTCTCAGTAAGATAAAAATGATTTTGAGTTTCCAACTAGTCACTCCACAAGAGCTAATTACTTCAGTAATGGCTACAAAGCTGTCAGAAATTTAAATAAATCTGGGAGGGAAGGAAGACTGGAGGGAAGGAAAAGGGAGAAAGGTAAATTTGTCAACTCGAGGTGCTTTGGTGTCTTCCACATAAACCTGGCAGGTAAATCACTGTCCTCTTTCAAGAGCTCTTGAAATTTCAGTATCACTTACGGTCACACAAGTGGCTCAACTGTTCAACTCAAAACAGAAGCCAAGAGAGGCTGTGTAGAAATAACCTGGCTGGGAACCATTACAGGTGCAGTGAGGTGGAACCCTCAGTGCATGGACACCCACCCCGACTGGCTCATACCAGCACCCATCGATCCTTCCTCTGCTGGCCTCAGACTGTCTGGTCACGCCAAGCACATGTCTGTGGAAATTGCAGAGATGGCAAAAGAAATGGACCCCAGTGCATTCATCCCCACTCTGGACCTCCTTATTTTTAATTTTTATTTCCAATCTAATACTTTTTTAATGGTGGTCCTTTTGGGTCACTCATAAAGAAACAAAGTGCTCAATGTAGACAAGTTAGAAAAAGCATATGAATAAAATGTGAAAAATCAAGTCCATCATCCAGTTCACGTTAACCTCTTGAGATAAACCCTTCCAGAGTTTTCCATTGTGAATACACAGTAATTGCCATTTACTTAGTTATTTTAAAAACCTAACATTTAGCATATTTACTCAAAACTGTCCTTGCAGAACTCTCAAGCCCTTCCCAGGGACAGTGACAAACATCACAGACTCTGGTTCAAATCAGCGGCCCCTAAACTGCATTCTGGCCATTTAGGGGTCTTTGCTAGAGGCAAGTCTCATCTTCAGGCTCTGCAGCCAGGTTTTTACCCAGTTCCACCCCCACCTTCTCTCCAGGCCCCTAGCTTTAGTCTTCATTACGGGACTACAATTAGCCACTTAGGCTCATTAGCCTCTTAAACATTTAATGAGGAGAGTTTGTTGGCTCCAGGGGCAGCTGGTTTTGTTTACCTGGCCTTTTATTTTAAAAGGAAAAACCTTTGCCCCTTATTATCTGACCCCTTCTTTTATTTCAGGTAATTGCATTAGTGCTGACTTCCCAATGCTTAGGAATTTCCGGACATATTTTGCAGCCCGCTGCTTTCAGGGAGGAGGGGCAGTCTGCTCAGAATTTTAACACCCAGCCTGGGCAGGT